TTTATTTAGTCTTTTTGAGACAGGGTCTCCCTGTAGTCCCAGCTGTCCTGGAACTCACTATGTAGACCAGGCTGGCCTTGAACTCACAGAGACCCGCCTGCCTCTGCCTCCCGAATGCTGGGAATAAAGGCGTGTGCCACCATGCCTGGCCTATTTTTATTTTTATTTTATGTGTATGTGTGTATTGCCTGCATGTAGGTAAGTGCACCCCTGTCATGCAATTCCGGAGGACAGAAGAGACTGTCAAATCCCTTGGAACTGGCGTTAACGGACAGTTGTTAGCTGCCATGTGGGTGCTGGGATTCGAACCTGGGTCTTCTGCAAGACCAGTCAGTGTTCTTAACCAGAGCCATCTCTCCAGCCCGGAGATCCTGTTTTCTAAAAAAATAATTTGCTGATCATTATGTTTTAAATGAAATTTTAATGAAAAAAACCCTTTAATGGGGTAGAAGGTGGCAAAAAGCATGAGACTTTTGAAGTTAATGTTTATTAATATATCTTTATGTTCCATCATTTTGAAAAGAAAACTTGTTTTCCCCACTTTAGAAAGCTAAATTTGAGTGAGGTTTTTAGGGATTGTTGTTTCCAGTTTGCATGAACATTTAACAAAACATCTTTAATGGAGAATCTGAGATGAAGGGCAAACTTTTATGACTAGATACAATCAATTATTTAAAATAAAGTTACATTAATTACAATGTAAAAATGTAATTATTCATTATCTCATTTAATTCCACATATTCCAAAACTTGGTTAATGATAACATGTCCATTTTAAGAAACAGGAATAGACCTCTCTAAAACACACAGGAAATTAGATACTTAAAAAGAAATAATAGCATCAATAATATCTTGCCTAGGGGCTGGAGAGAGGGCTCAGTGGTAAAGAGCACTGGCTGCTCTTGCAGAGGACCTGGGTTCAGTTCCCAGCACCCACATGGTGGCTAACAACTGTCCATAACTCCCATTCCAGGGGATCTGATGCCCTCTTCTGACCTCCATGGGCACTGTATGACATGGGTACACTTACATATATGTAGGCAATATACTCATACACATAAATGATAAGTAAAATATACTTTAAAAAAAACATAGTAAGAGTAGCTTGTCTTAATGCCACTGGGAAAGTACACACTTCCTAATACACTGATCCTGCTACTATTTAACAATGTGTAGGATAGTGTGGTAAGCAATATATACAAGTAAAACCATGATATTGGTGTTATTACCCCCACTGTAAGTCCAAATCTATTTGGCAAGTGATGGAGACAGATTTAAAGGCTACATGTATCTGACACTGAAGGTATTTTTTTTTTAATTCATTTTACTAACCTTATTTATACTGTAACACATGATGGACTCAAACTCATGTGTTACTTTTTTTGAGCAATGTACTACTAGTATCTAGGTGGTTATATCATTTGCTATTTAAGAATGGGTGCATCTTAAATTATAAAGTAAATGCCTATTTATTGCCAGGAGGGAGATAGTTCACTCATTTATTAGAACACACAACACAGAATCCACATTTAGTTTCTCTTTTTCTTATTGGTGTTATTTCAGCTTATATTTCTCACTGTCATCTTGCTAACGATGGAGCTATCCCAAAATACTATTTTTTAAGGTAGTATACAAAGTAATGTATTTCATTATGGCATCTACATACATATACACTTTTATTTCATTTTTTATTCTCTCCCCTCCCCAAGCTTCCCCCAAGTAGCTCCCCACTTCTTTCATAATCACATGCATTCCATTACTTAACTCTTCCCAAAGTGCTTTTAAATTTAGTTTATTCTATGATCTGTTTAGGAGATATCTTACGTATATGCAAAATGTGCCTGGTATATTTTAATTAAAGTATACACATTAGTTTTTATTACTATTTATCTGCGCAGAACAAAATTGGCTCTATTGATGCAGATTAAATGGAAACTTCTATTATCCTACAGTTCTTGCTTCCTTGGCAACAATGATCTGGGCCAAAGGATGATGTCAGAACAAAAGGGGCCATTTGTCTTATTTACATGGAATTTTCTAAATTGGAACTGGGGTAATCTCTCATGGATGGTGAAAGTGGAATGATAGGCTTCTAGGAGCTACTGGTAATGTTTCCAACTCACAGAGAAAGTTGGTATAAGAAAGTGGAGACACTGAGAGAAAAATGCAGTTAAGTTCTTTTTCCAGTTACCCTTCTGCTTAGGTTATACCTCTGTCTTTCCATAGTTCAGTAATCCAATATATTCCCTTTTGTGCCTAATCTCGGTCAAGTTGGATATACAGAGTAAGAACACTTAAACACTAAAAGCCCAGATTGATACTGGGATACCAAATAAGACTAGTAAGACTTATAATTTGATAAAGATTTTCTTCTCCAAAGGAAATGAAATATCTTTAATGATTGGGCTTTGGCAGCCAAACTAGGATTGTTTCCTTTTTTGAGGTAGGGTCTTACCATATAGCCCAGGGTGGTTTCAAACTTGTGATCCTCCTGCCTTATCCTTCAGAGTACTGAAATCATACATGGTGTGTCACCACACCCAGTGTTTGTGAATCTCCAACAAATGAAGCCTGGCCATCTTACTAGCAAATTCTTAGGTATTCTAGAACCAATAGATCCACTCATGGTATTATCTACCTATTTAAAACTGACTCTGACAACCAGGCGTAAAGGGCTGGAGAGATAGATGGCTCAGCATTTAAGACAACTGACTGCTCTTGCAGAGGAGCTGGGTCCAAGTCCCAGTCCCCACATGGTGGCTAACAACTACCCATAACTCCATTTCCAGGGGGATCCAATGCCCTCTTCTGACTTCCGAGGGCATTGCATGACATGGGTGCACTTATACCCATGCAGGCAATGCATTCATATACACACAATTAAAAAAAATAAGTAAAAACAACAGTAGTAAAAAATATTTAAAGAAGGAGAAAATGCCTCAGTACTGTTGGTTCTAAATCCTCAGTGAAAAAAAGGCAAGAATGACTTAAGAAAGGCTTATTTGGGGCCAGGCATAGTGGCCCACACCTTTAATCTCAGCACTAGGGATGCAGAGGCAGGTAACTCTGCGAGATCGAGGCCAACTGGAGCTACTAGGAGACCCAGTATCAAACAAAATATCAAAACAACAAAAAGAGTGTTTTGGGGGCTGGAGAGATGGTTCAGTGGTTAAGAACACTTGCTGCTTTTGCAGAGGACCCAAGTTTGGTTCCCAGCAACCACATTAGGCAGCTCACAACCACCTGTAACTCTAGAAGATTCAGTGGCTCTAGCCTCAGGCACTCGAGGGCACATACCCACACAAAGACACATAATTTAAA